CCCAAAAACCCCAAAACCCCAAAACCCCATAAGGAAATTTTTTAGAAGATATATAAAAGATAAAATATTATAATAATTTCTAATATAAATCTAAATTATAAAAATAATTATAAACAAATATCTAATGAAAAAAACATTGAACTCAACATTATTGAAGTTATTCGTTCTCTTGAACGCTTCTTTCTTGACATTAGCTGATCTTGACAGAGGTCTAACAATAGATTTCTAGGTCTGGCTAAATAAAAATGGCTATGGTTAATATGAATTCGCTCAGGAGAGCTTTATCGGTGGAGCTTTTGGAGGCAAAGACTCTGCTTCAGATACTATTGTTAACAGACCAGTCGTCTTTTTCCATGGAAACTCTGATATTGCTGTTGGTCAACCCACCGATAAAATGGACTGGAAATTTGGATTTACAAAATCAATTGAGCACTTTATGGCTAATGGCTATAAAAAGTCAGAACTTTACGTAACCACCTGGGGTAATGGTGACTATACTTAAGCCAATAAGACTACTCATAGCATTGAGGCAGTCAAGAAAATGAGAGCTTTTATGGAAGCTGTTATCTAATACACTGGTGCTAGCTAAGTTGATGTTATTACACATTCACTAGGTGGCACTCTAGCCAGAAGAGTAATCAAGGGAGGCCATGTAAATGGTGCTGAGACTCCATACGAAGTGGGTGAATCTCTTGCACCCAAAGTTAATACTCTGATCACATTAGCCATTGGAAATCTCGGTATTCATTCTTGCAGCGAGATGCTTGATCAACCAATTTGCAACAAAAAGAATGGTTACTATCCAGCTGGACCATACCAAGATGGGCCAAGTCTTTACCTCTAGGAATTAAATGACAATGTCAAGGAAGCTGATCACGTATACTCTCTATTCTCTACAAAGGATGAAGTTATGTCTAATAAAGACCCTAACTTTGGATTTAGAACAAGTATGTGGACAACTGTTGACGACTACCATCAATTCAATACAGTTGAGTTCTCCCATCTTTGCTTAAGAGACATTACAGCTCCACTATAACTCCACCTTATGAAAAATCATGATATGACAAGCTTTGATTTTAATTCTCTTGACACAAGTGGAAAAGATTGCTATTTCTACTACCCAGAAAAAAAGAGTTTCTCAGTTATGATGTGACTTCAATATATCTAATTATACTTGAATTATTGCTAAATTCTTATTCATAGCTAATTTTCTATAAGTCGGGGTTTTGGGGTTTTGGGGTTTTGGGG